AGCGCAGCTGCCGCTCAGTATGTGCGCCAACGATGCCTGTGGTGGCTCACTGTCTTCTTGTTTCCAGTCGTCCCAGTCCCTCAGTTTCTCCGAGTCTCCTCCTTGCCTCGCGCGCCTCTTTTGTGGCCTCATCCCTCGCCGTTTTGCACGCTGCCTCTGCATCCCCAGAACGCACTTCTCGTGGCGGGGCCCCTCATTCCCCGTTTCTTTCCCCCCTCTAGAATACGGCCTGTGGTGTGCCCCGTGTGGCGTGTGGCACCCCGACCTGTTGTCTCACCCTGGCCCCCAAGATCGTTTTGGTCGTCACATTGTGGCTCCTACGTCGTCAAATGTCGCTCGCCTGTCCTTCCCCCCATTCTCACTCATCTGGCAATCTCATCTTATTGTCCCATCGATGCTTGAGACTGGCTACAGCCACTTCGCTCCACAACCGTCCCGCCACCCCTGCCGTGTGCGATCCCGGCCTCACCGTCTTTCGATATTGCTCGCACACCCACTCGTGCGCGCTCTTACACATGTGTCCGTACGTCCGTCGGTCGAATATCCCGCTGTTCGGGCTATTCTTTTTCTCTTCTGTTTGGGCGCGCCGCCGCGAAGCCACTCCGCAGAGCCCCGCGAGAGTTCACGGAGTCGGCTGGGGCTATACCAGAGCGCTGATGTCGGGTTCGTTGACGTCCTTTGCTGCCGTGCTGCTCGCTGTAGCGTTGGCGTGGACCTACTCGTCGCCCGCGCCCTCCGCTGCAGCAAGAGACGCCACAGTGCTGCTGGGTCCCGTCTCGCTCGGCCATGGTGGCACGGTGGAGCTGCTGCGAGCGCCAAGCGCTGGACCACTGCCGCGGCTGCTCGTGCAACTGGGCCGCACCGTGGACGAAGCCACCCTCACCGCGCTCCTCGCCTTTATGAGCCGGACCCTCGATCGGCGCAGGCCCTTCACCGTGCTGTGGGACCCGGGAGCGGTGCGATGGCCCCGCGTCGGCGGCCGTCAGCTGGGCCTGGTGCGGTCGTGGGTCGACAAGCACGCTGAGCAGTGGGACAGCAGAGTCCAGGCGCACGTTCTGCTGCTGCATAGCCCACTCTGGCGCCCCGTCGCCTGGCTCGTGCTCAAGCTGTTTGCGCCGCCGCAGCCAATTCGCATCGTTAGGGACGAAGCGACCGCCGATGACTTCACGCGGAGCTGCGCGAGCTGCACTCAGCCGAAGTCCTGGGTCAAGTCCTCATACAGCGATCGTGACCGCCGCTTTGGAACCTTCAGCCGAGCATGGGGCCTTTGATGCTGGAGCGAGCGTTTACGTGTGTGTGGTTACAACGTCAACCCCCAGAAATAAAAGAGAGCGTAATCCCAGGTCTCCCCGCGTAGGATGAAAAAAGTACACAAATGCCCCGACCGCAAAAAATGCGCTGCAGCAATTCCAAAAACGCGGAACGCACCTGTGCCACCTCTCGGACCCGTGGAAGTGCGTGACAAGTGGGATGCGACGCATAACAGCGCTGTAGCCCTCTCTGGCGACTGCGTCGACCAGAGTCTGCTTCATACGCAAGACACAACCAAGAAACACGTGTAGGAACTTCGTCCGGTCAATCGGGTCAACTCTCTCTAGACTCTACCTGTGCCTGCTGTGCGTTCAGAGTTGTCGCGCTCTTGTCCTCGGCAAGCGCGAATTCGTACCATGACCATGCACATGCACAATCGTCACAAAGGTTGAAGTGGAGGATACATCATAAGCAGGTGGGGGCAAAGCTTGTCATCACATCGGAGGGAGAAGTTGGAGGATTGGCATCTGCAGAGTCCCGGCAGGACGAGGTCGGCGAACCCCTGTCCTCCGCAGTTGCATCTGCCTGCTCAAAATCAGCTGGCCGCGAGCGAGAAAGCCTTCTCGGCCGTTCGCCCTCTGCTGGCGATCGCTCAGCCCGCCTCAATGTCTCGGGTACCTCTGCGGTGGATGGCGGCGGCTCCGACCTCTGAATGCAGAGGGGAGAGGGATAAGACAACGGCGCAGGCTGCGTCCGAAGCGAAGGCGTCGGCGGCGGCCGAGAAGAAGGCGGTCGAGAGGGCGGCGGTGGAGGCCAAAGCCAAAGCGGCGACTGAGAAGAAGGCAGTCGAGAGACTCCGTCAGATGAGAATCTCGGGGGGGTGACCCCACACCCCTCTTGTATTCCCCGCAGAAACCGTAACCGACTCCAGCTTGACTCCGATCTCATTCCATTCATCTCATTCCTGGAATGTTTTATTGCATCTCAGATACACACACAACAGCGGACCCCATGCTGGGATGACATGCGAATTGAGACCTGGGCGATGCGGATCTCAGCCTCTACAACAAGCTCTACAGCAAAATCGCGCTCACCTCTACAGCGCATCTGCGGCGGTCCGTCACGCGCCGGATGTATGTAGAGCTCTAGCTAGAGCTCTACAGCGCTCCAGAGACAGACAGAGCGCGGAAACCTGGAGACAAGCCAAGACGTGGACGCGGACAACATTGGCAGGCGCGACAGACCTATTGCGAGATGTCAAGCTGGTCTGCCCCCTCATCATTCTACACTCAGCAGGAGCAAGCAACCTCGGGGAGCACGGTCGGAAGGGAGCTTTATCGCTTTCGGCAACACCGAATCATTCTGATGGGCGACGCACACGAACACAGAGGGACAGTGCGCACCCCGCCCCGCTCGCAGGGCGTGCATCACACAGGTGGACTGTGTGACTCCTCGGGTTTCTGGGACTCAGAGGTGTGCTAGTCGCTATTCTCCGACAATTCCGACATGTCTGGCGGGCAGTTCGGGCTCGAGCGGTCGCGGTCGCGGCTACCCGGTATTTTGCCGATTTGGCTGATTTTGGGCCCAAACCAGCCTCAGACTCGCAACAACAACAAATTGGTATTGGCTAGTGCCATTTCACTCTGACACGCTAATCTTGAAAACGTCTCCAACGGAGCTCCGTGTTGCTTCCAGCGCCCTCCCCCGCGCTCCCTGCGGCCATATGGCCGATACTACCAGTATGAGAGGTCATCTGGCTACCGCGAGAGCGACCCAACTCGTCGACATCGTCCGATGATGGTGCCGCAAAGTCAGCCTTCGGAGGCTATCGTGGGGTCGAGCTAGGCCCTATTTGGAGCCATATTCTTGCCATATTCGAGAATATAGACCCTATTTTGGACAAGAATTACGGAAAGAATACGCAAAAAGAATATAGATAGTACTCGGCGAGAAAAGCGTATAAAGACCAACTGTCCACGGACGGCGTGTCGTGCCTTAAAATCCCTGTGTGGTGGCGGCGTGCCGTCCTCCCATCCCTCCCTTGGGTCGTCTTGGAGCACTTGGAGTGCAGTCGGTAACCTCACATCCCAGGGCCGGGGAGCTGAGAAGCGCACCCACTGAGGGAGGGTGTAGAGGATGTAGAGTGTAGAGCGCTGTAGAGCTGTAGAGATGTAGAGCGCTCTGGAGCGCTGTAGAGCTGTAGAGCTCTACATCCGCCGCGTGACGAGGCGCCTGCGTTGTAGAGCGATGTAGAGCGCGATTTTGTTGTAGAGTTTGTTGTAGAGGCTCTACAGCCAAACCGCCGGGAAGGCAGTGACTCAAAGAGGTCGAGCCGCGCTAATGGGGTGTCTCCGAGCTTAGTGAAGCTCTGATGGACAGCCCTGACTATCCCTGACACACAGAGAGTCACTCTGACGGCACACAACACCCTATAACTGCGTCATGACCAGCCTGCCATGTGTCGCCGGTGCCGCATTCGTCGCTGTGCTTCTTTAGCAGGCGGTGGACTGTCGGCTGCGAGGACGGTCGCATTTGCGCGAGGCGAGGCGAGCATTCAGACGCGTTGCATGCGCCATGACTCGCGCCAGCGCGTGCGGGAGCTCCTGGCTTGACCGTGAGTCCAGGCGAGTTGCGCTGGCCACTATCGCCTCCCCCAAGCCGAGCTGACGCGCCGAGGCCCCGGCTAATCCGGACCCTTTAGGCCATGGCCTACCAGCCGAAGCACTTGTCCTCCCAATGTTCGGATTGACAACAAGTCACGGGCACCATCTGGAAATTGCAACCCGCCTTCCTTTTTGGAAACCCCCC